CTCCACCCCGCCCCACACGCCCGGCACGGCTGAGGGCGCGCGCGGTGCACGCCGGGACGGCAGCGCGCGCCGCGGCCGGGAGGAGGCGGAGGAGCCAAGATGGACGCCGGGTTCTTCCGCGTAAGTGCCGGCCCGGGCGGGCCCTGAGGGCGAGCGGGCGTCGCGGCGGCCCCGCCGGGGCACGGGAGCACCGCCCGGTCCTCGCCGCGGAGAAAATGGCGGCGGGAAGAGGCCGCGGCGGCGCGGCCCGGGCGGCGGCGCGGGGATCGAGCGGCTCCGGGCCGGGCTCGGCACGGGGGGAAGCTCCGCGGCCGCCGGGGGGGCTGCGCTCCCCGGCCAGGCTCCTCACGGGGCCCTGAGCGGCCCCGGCCCCGGAGGTGCCGACCCACGCGGGGCCGTGTCACCGCTGCGACCCCCGAGCCGCGGCGGGGGAGAAGGGGCCGAAGGGCTCTGAGGGGCCAGGCCGGGTTTGCGCTGTCCACGCTGTTTAGTGGTCACGGTCAAAGCAAATAAACAACCCTGGCCCTATTTTTATTGAGGTTTTTTTTTTGTTTTTTTTTTTTTTGAGGCTTTTAAGTGTATTCGTAGCGAAAAGAAGTGAGGCTGTATTCAGATGTTGGTATTTTATTTTTAATCCTTGAGTTTCTTCTCTGGTCTTACAGCTGTGCTGCATTTTCTGCAGAGACCATGATATCTACGCAGGGTCTATTTATTTTTTGCCTTTTTCTCCATTAATTGAAACGACATTATTTTGGGGGTTTCTGTGATAATTTTGAGGATTTCAAGGTTCATTCACTTGTTCGGTCCATATTAGTTTCATTTCCTGCAGCTAGGATGCTTTTAAAGCACACATAACCCTTCCCTTAGTTCAGTTCATGGACTAACTTGAGAAAAATAACTGCAGATTAAATCTGCACGTGTTGTAATGCAGTTGTTAAAAGGTTTACAGTTGATTGACAGCAGGATTACTGGGGCTGAAAACTCTGGATTAGAAATCTAATATTCTTTTAAACTGGCCTGTGGAAGGTGGCATTTTATAAAAACCCAAGCAGCATGGCACTGGAGTGGGGCTGTGAACAGTTTTATTCTGGGTTCAGGAAGAACCAAATGTGAAATGACAGAAATGCAGCAGAGCAGCAATTTGGATTCCCTGTACCAAGCAACCTCCTATTTATAATTCTGCCTGTTCTTCACATTTCTGTGAAGTTTCAGTGCAAACCTGTTTTGTCTGTCTTTAAACTCCTGTAGCCCCCTTGCTCTGTCCTGTTTGCTTCCTTTTGGTTCCCTTTGCTGCTTGCCACGTGTTATCAACAAGAAACTTCCTTTCCATTTCCCTTCTGGGTTGTGAAATAATTAAAAAAAAACCTCAAAAGAACATTCAGCTGTTGAGTGAACTGGCAAGTATTGTGGGTTTTTTGAGAGCCACACACAGACTGCAAATATTGTAAAGAGTTTTAATCCCTGGGAGTGCCCGTGCCACAGTCAGACTTTAGGAATCCCAGGTTCTGGAATAGCACCTGGGAATTGTCAGTGGATTGTTCCTTTTCACTAACTGAAATGCCTTTGCAACATGTTATATTGCTAATTCCAGCTGCTTTCTGACCAAAATGAACATGGAATTTGGGGTTTTCTCTTCTTTATTATCATTTAATTCCTTGACAATTCCTATTTTTACTGGTACTGAGCACTGTTCTTCCATTGAGAATCACCTGTATAAAATTCCCTGGTTTCCATCAGTGCTTTCCAGAATAAATTTCCCCAGCTGTGGGTTTGTCCTCAGTCCTGAGCAGCCCATCAGGACCTGGATGCTGCCCTGTCTCCTCTGATCCTGCCTGGTTCTGTTTAATCTCTGCCAGTCCGTTTTCCAGAACTGGATTCCAGGCCTTTCCCTCCATAATGGATTAACCTACAGCTCCTGTCCATGGAAGTGGAGCCAGTTGGTGAACTTTTAACAGAGCAGGATCAATAAAATGCATTCTTTGTACTTCTCTTTGCCTCAGGGAAGCTGCCCAAAGGTTTCAGGGGTGTCACTGTAAGCAAACAGGACATTTTTGTTCCTGGACACATGAAAAACACTTTATTTCTTTTATTAAGGAATTATTAAAGCTTTTTCCTGGCAGTTTGATGCTGCTGGTACTTTAATTTGTGGGCAGTGCCAGGGGGGTTATGATTGAGGTGTCACTGTGGAGCTCAGGAGCTTCTCACCCAAAATCCTCAGCACCTGGTGAGAGCTCAAACTGAAAAGCACCTGGAAAGGAATACTGACAAAAAAACAAACTTGCACATTGGTGGGAAAATAATCCTTGGTACTGGAGGGCCCTGCAGGCTGAAAGTGTTGTTTGCTGTGCTGCAGGGAACCAGTGCAGAGCAGGACAATCGCTTCAGCAACAAGCAGAAGAAGCTGTTGAAGCAGTTGAAGTTTGCAGAATGCTTAGAAAAGAAGGTAAGTGGGATGGGGGAGCAGGGATTCCAACTCAGCAGTCAGGTTTCAGTGGAGTCACTGAGTATCAGGCCCCTAAAACCACAGTGGAGGATATTTGGGATGTCCCCTTGAACATCAGGTGCAGCAGTGATAGAAATTATCTGGTTGATGTACTAAATATCACCACCAGGCTTTGGTGTAACATACAACTTCAGAAGAAGTCAGCTCTCCAGCAAATATTGATTAATTTGGAAATGTAAGCATCCTTAAATGCAATCCCCAAAATGCTGAAGTCTGGTGGACAGGGGAAGTGGTGAGCCTGGATCAAGACTTGCTTTATCATGGAGTTTCATTTCATTTCATCATTTACTTGGGAGTGACCAATAAACTATACACAATACAAGTTTCACTTTGGTTTTTTGCCCTCTTTCCTCTTGTTGATACTTTAGAGTTCACTAGAAACTGTGTTTTGACTTTTGTTATCATCTCTAGGTTCTAATTTTAGCTGCTCAGGAGAGGGAGGTCTATATTTGGGGAAAAGTAAAAGGGTATCCAGAGGTGTGCTTTGATCAAACTGTAACCTCTGCTGAACAGCAGCAAAGTGGTTTGAAACAAAACTGGGGTGAGGTAATTATGAAGCAGCACAAAATTCACTCTTCAGTGAAAGAATTCAGGAAAAATGTTGTGTTTCTCCTGGCTCTTTGGTGCAGGTGGACATGAGCAAAGTAAATCTGGAAGTAATCAAACCATGGATAACAAAACGAGTAACAGAAATCCTTGGATTTGAAGATGATGTAGTAATTGAATTTATTTTCAACCAGTTGGAAGTGAAGGTAACAATTTTGTTGTGGATATTGTTTCTAAATGTGTAACATAATTATTTATGAATTCTATGGAATCTGTGAATTTCTCAAGTACAGTTAGGAGGGGTTTTGTTACTTTGTATATTTTTGAAAGAAATTCACTGTGTAACAGCTGTAAGGCTGGAAGTTTAGCGAAGGTGCATAGTTTGCAAACTGCTCAGGTGAAAAATCAAACTTACTGTTTTAATTTTGCTGTTACATGTTAAGTTACTTTGACAGCAATTTTCTAATGATGATGTGATTTATGATTTAAAAGGCCTGAACCAAAATGGAAGTTATTCCTTGCGTCTGAAGTATAGCACCATCACCTTATTAGGTCACAGCAGAGTGAGTGTCCAATGTCGCTCTGACCCAACTCCCTTGATGATGCAGTGTGTGTTTGGAGGTGAGTTGTGTAAAGTGGCCGAACCAAAACATCCAGGAAAGAGCAATTGGGCAAAGCTTTACACTGCTCTTGAAATTACTGTAAAGTAGCTCAGGTTTTGTGTGCAGCATGAGGGGAATTCTGAATTGATCCGATGGTAATTTAATGGAGAGTGCTGGAATCAGTGTAGCCACCACATCTATAGCTATGTTAATTTTTCCTTTTGCTAATTGCTGTAGGCAGTATTTACAAATACTATTTCTATTTGCTGTAGTTAAGCTTCAGGCTGATACACGAGATCATTTAATGCAGTAAACTTCATGTGAAGGCTATGAATAATATGAGGTGGTGATAAGCTCAGTTTTTCTTAATTCTGCCACTGTGCCACTGCAACCCAAGGGACAGTAAAAGCTGTACAATACGAATTATTGGCAAACATTCTCATGCTGATGTACTTTACACTTAATCTTTCTTCCTAAGAGTTCAGCCTTGTGTTTTGAGAGAACAGTTGACATTTCAACTGATAAAGGTATTGCTGTTTAAAAAAAAACCCTTTAGATTTCACTGTGCTGGAATCAGTGTAGACACCACATCTATAGCTATGTTAATTTTTCCTTTTGCTAATTGCTGTAGGCAGTATTTACAAATACTATTTCTATTTGCTGTAGTTAAGCTTCAGGCTGATACACGAGATCATTTAATGCAGTAAACTTCATGTGAAGGCTATGAATAATATGAGGTGGTGATAAGCTCAGTTTTTCTTAATTCTGCCACTGTGCCACTGCAACCCAAGGGACAGTAAAAGCTGTACAATACGAATTATTGGCAAACATTCTCATGCTGATGTACTTTACACTTAATCTTTCTTCCTAAGAGTTCAGCCTTGTGTTTTGAGAGAACAGTTGACATTTCAACTGATAAAGGTATTGCTGTTTAAAAAAAACCCTTTAAATTTCACTATTTTGAAGATGTTAATATCTATTTCATGAATATTTAGATACTTTTATGTATAGAGAACAAAAAGGGGAAATAATTTTTAAGTACTAAGCTAACTAAAGCCAGGGGTCATAATAGGAAA